TAGTTTAGGTTTAATAGTTCGAATGCCTATCGCCTCAGCTGTGTGCAGTAGACGAATACGAAGTCTATTAGAAAGATTCGGAGGGATACGATGAATTACTTTGAAGGCTTTCGTTTTATCGACTACATGACCACTATCAATTAGATGTGACAGAATATGTTATTATTACATTAGAACTAATCCTGATGAGATGTAATTGAAAACACAATCTTGACAATTATGTTCATAATAAAAAAAAGTTTTTATTTACAATTCAACCTATTAATGGAAATAAAACAGTTATATTATTACTCAGTTGTTTTTGATTGATGATACCTAGTGGTGGAATCCAAGGTGGGTTGCTTTCGTCCTGTTTAAGACTTCTCAGTTGGACGTGCTGATAGAAACCAGCATAAAATAGTACATCATTTTTTTTCATGAATCGTGTGGTTTTTCTTTTGATAGAGTTACTACATTAATCTATCATTTCTCACGCATATTGTGATTTATTGTGTGATCAATTCACCATCTTTGTCTCCACATTGGTCTTTGTCGGACAGCCGCCTATTACCAACCAATAAGAACAATCTATTCTCACGGCTGTGAGCCGATTGTATTGTAGTAAATAAAATGTATAAATATGTGTTGTTTCGCAATAAATATACAGTATTTTGCAATCACAGGCACGCCTTTGTAATTGGATTTTTGCCTGGCTTAGTGAAGTGAAATGTACAACAGACGAATAGGCGTATTAACGTGCCAGTCGAGTTCATTACCATAAAAACAATTAGCGGAGCAGGTATAACACGTACCTATATCCACGTATGACTGATGACGTTCCCTTAAACTGAGACTCGAATGTAGCAGGATTATCCACTGAGCTATTGAATCACAAGAGTCAACTATTATGCTGAAACGAAAATGGATTTTCAATGTGGAAGTTAACGTTAGTTTTGTGCAGCTGCAGAACTCAGGGGACAATTGCTAAAGGCCGAACACATACCGCCTGTTAAAGTGCTTTTCCCAACTGTCTCCGTAGGACAACCTTACTACCAACTACAGACTACCACAAAATAAGCTGGAGCGTAAAGCTTTTACGATCAACCTTGTCCAATACCTCTTCCACATAGCTGGCTTACCAGTCGTCTGAGCGAGATATCCCTATCCCCCAAGAGTATAATTTATGCCCTCGTACTCCCCAACATAGTGTGAACTATTTAAATTATGATGGTAATTGTTTTTATTCAAACTACTATTCAAATGACCTTCCTAGTATGGTAGAACATTCAGGTATATTCATTCCGGTTTGTGTAGATCCTTGTGCTATTGTGATATGCAACCCGAAGCATCACCCCCTGTGTAACAGGTATCAGTTGTTACTTGTATAAATTATCATGAATTTCCCCTTGTTGAATTGAACTGGGCCAAAATGGCCGGTCTCTAGTTACAAATCCGCGTATAATACGAATGCATTAACGATGTCAGATTAGCATGATGTCATCAAATCGGTGATGACTAGCAGTAGAAGCGAGGATGCAGATTTCGTCCTATTCCGGACTCGTGAGCTGGATGTATATACGTATCCAGTGTGTGATGTCAGGTTCGGTCACGATTCATTATCATTTAGAGAACCAGGGAGAGTACTGAACAAATCAAATCCATACAAACTACCTCTTTGAAATTAATCCTTTTCTCACTAGTGACTGACTACAAGTCGAAGTTGGAGTTCTAGTAAGAAGTCGGAACCAGTGGGGTCCGCCAACATGTCAGGTGTTAGGACAAATACTCGCCACCAATAACACTGACTTGGAGTAGCTAATGGCAGAATCCCTTGTTACCTAGTCTGTTTATGAGATGAGATGCTTTCCGTAAGTTAGTCAGACTTATATTTAGTAGGTGGACATTTTGTTATTTATGATAACAACTATGACTTTATTCGGTTTTTAGAGATATATAACAACTATCTAGCAATAAAATTCATTCTTGAAATTAAAAAGCTATTTAAGATTTTTCCTTCTTAATTAATATTAAATTAAGAAGAACGGTCGTTAAGACCTTAATTAATCCTATTGATTGAAAGCGTACTGACAAGTTTCTACAGCTGGATGTTGACTAGATGAAAATTAAAATTAGTTATATCTCTTGCCACTTGCTTTCGAGGTACCTGTATTCCTGATACTCTTCTAAGTGAAATCTTCATCCAAAATCGATATCCACTGAGGTTTTTTGACAAAAATATCCAACCGAAAAATCTGAAACATTAGACATCGTTCATGCCACAAGAGAAACTTCAGAGTTGACCTGGGTTATGATTTCACTAGCAGAAGAACTTCAACATCGTTGAGAAAAACATTCTTCGTAGCAACGCTAGTAATAGTGTTCTCTACAGTCATCCACTGTTCTGTAGAAGCCTGGAAAACAAGACCTCGCATCTAACCACCTCTGTGTACATATATCAGTTTACCTGCTCCTGTACAGTTAGCTATATCGCTGGTTTTGTGGGTTCGTTATCTAAGAGCGTCCATAACACTAGCATAAATGGTAGTAGAAAAGTAGCAGCAACTCCACAATAATAATAACAAATGAATACACTTTCAGCCCTCAAGAAACTCCCCCTCTCAAAGTATTGTATAAAGGAAACAGCAACCTGCTAAAGATAGCACGCTTTGATGCCTTTCCACCGCTGAAGCTATAAGTATTCAGACAGAGAAACCTAAGCTCTGTATGTGAAAAAAGATTCTCCAGTCACTACTATCACAGAAATGAGCCCGTTGTTTGCTAACTTCGGTTTTTTATTCAGCCCTTTTTAACTCTTGCATAATGTCCCATTTTCCCTCGTTTCTAAGTGCATCTTGATTACAGCTCATTCATTAAATTATTTATCTCATTCCTTGACTATATCATGAATCACCCTTATTTATTAATTAAATATTAGCAATCATGACTATAACGACTCATCACTTTGTTAGTATCCTCTTTTGTGAAGAAAATTGTACATAAATGCAAACGTACAAGTAAAGAGAAAAGGAATTTGTCCAGGGAAGTCATTTCTCATAATATTACCGGTTCTATTTTCTCTTTAATGCCTCGTTAAGGAGTGTTTATGAACTAATACTTAGATAAATATGCTAATTCCAAGAAAGAGTTATATTCGTGTTTTATACAGAATACATTTGATAGTTAACATAGTCGATGTCTTTTTCATACAGATAACTCTTAAAACTCATGCAAATATCCCTATTTCTTAATGCGTTTTAATACTCCTGTTTAAGAAACTTTTCCTTAAGAAAACAAAGAAGTGGGATTAAATTCACTAAACACCTAGAGTTCTATTCGTTAGTCAGAGCCAAATAAGATCCTACGAAACAGACTCCAAGTCCTGGTAGTTCTTGAAGCTGCCCCGTCTTCAACGTACCCATATTTTATCTCCTTTCCAGCACTAAGTTCTGGTATCTGTGTGGCAGGTTGAATTTGAAAGCCCGGCGTGAGTACATCAGTCACCATTCTATTACAGAAACCAAATGCAGTCAAACTGGAAATATCAGATAGTCGTCGTCCAGTGAGAAGCATGACGATTGCATCGGTACCCGAAACCAGAGATAGACACAACAGTCAATTCCTACCATCAAAACCTTCGTGGCATAAAGTGAAAAGTGTGATTCTGCAGAACTACGTACGCAGCAATCCACCAATCGTGCTATCGGTTCTGGTATATTTTTCCTCCACCTGCATGGATCGTAATTTAATTAGGCCTCCAAAGCAAAACGCTGTAAAAAAGTTACAAAATGTTTTTACGCTTGAGTGATCTGAAGGCATAGAATATGAAGAAAGTTCCGCTTACTGCTTTAGAAAATATGCCCTTGGAAGAAGATTCACTCTGCAGCAAGCATAAAATATGAAGCAGCTGACCATGGTTCGGTAATAGGAACGTCGATAGGAGAGATGGGAAATAAAACTGTTATGCAAACGGCAGTATTACTGCCCTGTTTGAAATGCTAAATAAACAACTTTAACCTGTCCCCACATAAATGTGTTCAGTAATTTCATGTTGGGAAAATAAAAATCTACCAACCACAAACAAGTACACTTGATGAAAAACCTTAGATTTACCTCCGAAAGAAAGGTTAATCAAGCCAACATTCTTAGGAAAGTCAATTAAAGAGGAGGCTGATGTAGGACCACTGTACCTCAGCAGATTTACTATAAACGCTAGGCTCAATCAGTTGGCGGCCAGCAACAAAAGGAGTACAGGAGGATGACACAAGTAACCAGTTAGGAAGAATATGCTTTTTATGATTTCTAAGACTCTCCTTCTATATCCTGGATAATGGATGCTCGTCCTTTTATGTTTGACTAGGCTTCTCCGCTTCACTTACCCACTAGCTTGTTAACGAAATACACATTTGAAAATAACTACTTTCCTATTACTCCATGCACACTATCAGCCAGTATTTCGTGCGGATAAACGGGTGTGAAGTCCGAGAAATGTCAAATTACACGTTCATCGTAATATAGTAGAAACAATGAATTCACTGCACATCAGAAGTTTTAATTGATGTATTGAATAAGGACTCAATCTTGTTCACCCCGCACTACGGACGATACGTCTTCCCTTCTCTAGGTTTTTGCTCCCCACTGTTACCAATCATCGCTAGCCGGTGCCTAATTCGTATATCCACTTTTTGGATCTTTTACTTCGACCTCCTCTTCTCTCGGGCTGTTGGCATACCCTTGTGTGAAATGAGCAATAGCAGATCAAAACGACTACTTCATTACTTCAACTCCGAACGTGTATTTTGGAACAATTATAACTTATCAAATAACTGTATCTTATATACATATATATACGCCTTAACGCCAGTTTGTATTTGTTTTGTTATTTCCCTTCGCGTATAAACGAGCTTAGACGGTTCGTTGGCTATACGGGTTCCCACAGTCGTCCCAACCTGTATTGTAGTTCTCTTCAATGTAGTTGCATAAGACAATAAGAAGCGTAATAACAATAATAATTATTATTGTCATTATATTAGAATTTGATAACGTTGAACTGAATCTGTATACAGCTGATAATATTCTTTAATTAGATATAAAAACGGAGCTTCTATGCCGACTGCCTCTTTCTATAATTGTAAATTTAGAGAAAACATGATATCTCTTATCAATCCTGCACAAAACTAAACATTTGTGGAATGAAAATGACTGATGCCGAAAACTCTACTTAAAAAAATTATTAAGTATAATAAACAAACAAAATAAACCGAGTCTTAAATTTCTCAGAGTCTATTGCTATCAAATATCCAAACCTGATTTTTATGTTTTAAAAAGAGATGTGACCCTAAATCTCGGATTGACTATATACTGTCTTTCTAAGCGTCGGTTTGCAAGCATTTGAATAATTTCAAGCTAAATGACAGACTGACTTCAATCAGACAGCCACTGAAGACCATCAAGGCGTGCTTGACAGCTATTTGTTGTTGGTCTTGGACCCAGCATCAGTAGTACGCACCCACTAATCCACCGCTGAATATAGAACCCAGAATCTTCAGGCTACAAGGTCAGCTAGTTGGATCTTCAGCCAGAGACAGAATCCAGTGACCGGCCCATCACTTCTAGCTTCTTAAAATAAACCCATCTTATTTTTGTAAATTTCATTTCCTTCACTGATAGCATCATAATGTGTACTGTAATCTTGTAAAATATTCCCCATCAATATCTTTTCATCACTCTTGCCATTTTTTGAGAAACTTCAATTACATTTAATGCATAATTGAAGCAACTCATTGCACTTTCATTGTTTCTTGTTCTGATTATAGCTTGATTCCATCATTGGTACAAGTATGGAATTTTCAGCATGTGATATCGCTAGCCCGGATTTTGCAGGCCGAACATTGATATCACGTGTGCGTCGGCAGGGGATAGAACCCCAGACCATGTACATGGTCGGCGAGAGTCCTCACTGCTATTTCACCAAAACAGTTCACAAAATATCTTCAAAATAAAATGCATTTGTCCGCTTTACAGTTACTTAGTGTGCAGAATACAACAACATGACACTGCTACGCTATTCAGCATACTATAATTATAATACTATACATTAGAAGCCAATCAAAATTAGGCCTCAGGCCCAGGTTTTATCTCTGACTATCGGCCGAGCCTTTACATGAGAATGTAAAATGAGTGACTTCGCTTTCAAGCGTGTTAAGAATCAAACAGATACAAATCGACAGTGAGCCTTGTGTAAAGGTGTATCACATCAGAACAGTACACATAGTAAAGTGACTCATAAGTAGAATGATATCATAATGAACAAGGGTATTACTGGCCCAATGATAGAGTGCTCACCAGTCACATAGGAGGCCCGATTTCGAATACCGGATGGACTATTCCTAAATGTCATACAATCAGTATCAAGCCCAAAAAAGAGGGAGAGTTGGATGTAAAGACAGCGATCCTACTCTGTAAGAGAAAAATCGACGTCACCCCTACTGAAACTTCAGACTATGAAGACCTCTTTCTCACTCAGATGAAAAAGTAATAAAAAAAATAGCAGCAACGAACATAAAGATGTATAAGAAAAGACGATAAGTGAATGTAAACTATTGGGAATGTCCCACATCTCAGTGATAAAGATGAGATTATCATGAATCTTCAATTGCTCATACCAAACATCTACTTAGATAACCAATACATTTTTCAGAATTTCATCATGAGCTGAGACTAGTTAGAGAACCACTGGAAAACCTGGGAGTACTGGACAGCTGTTTCGTCCTCGTTTGGGACTCTTCAGAAGCACACACACAGACATTTGAACCCAGGACCTTCCGGTTACAAGGTGAGTGAGCTCGTATACGATTAAGCCACTGGGACCCGATCCAATGGTCCTTGAATTCTAACTTCTATCAATTCACGATATAGCGCAACCGCTAGCCAATATCTTCGGCGAGTATTCGTCCTCACACCCAACCTGCTGCACCCTAGTGGTCACGACTTCCCACTGAAACCCAGGTAACTGCCTACCTGAATAGGGCCAGTCGCCGTGACCAGTAGGGTGCAGCGGGTCCAGTGTGAGGACAAATACTCGCCGAAGACATTGGCTAGCGGTCGCGCTATGTCGTGAATTGGCAGAAGTTAGAATTCAAGGACCACTGGATCGGGTCCCAGGGGCTTAATGGTATACGAGCTCACTCGCCTTGTAACCGGAAGGTCCTGGGTTGGAATTCCGGTGGGTGCGCGCTTCTGAAGAGTCCCAAACTAGGACGAAACAGCTGTCCAGTACTCCCAGGTTTTCCAATGGTTCTCTAGCTAGTGTCAGCTCATGATGAAATCCTGAAACCAATCAAATCCCTACAAACCAACACTTGAATACCAATACATTTTTAATTGATTTACTTACACCAACAGTTAGAGATATCGTGTATTAACGTCGTGGTCGGTTTTAACCGGTAGTGACTTGTACCGTACTGAATGATTTCTTTTTAAGAAAGGAGTGACTTGATTTGGGAAACAGCACTTGCTGACAAACAGGAAGACGCGACATAAGGCCTTGACTTTGATTAATTAATCTCGACACTACGGAATATCTGGACTGATTTCCACCTAATTAAATGTTATCCGGACATAACTTTTCGTGAACATTTTTAGATCGTCATGATTTTCAAGTAGTTGTCTGTCGGTGTTTGCCCAGTTTTGCATTGGAACCTCTAGTTCTAATGATCACTGGAGTTGCTGATGACACCAGTGGACGGAAACACTATATATTGCGAATCGGCACAGATTTGCATTCGTGAGACATTGGATCCCATCAAAATGGTCAAGCGATTTACCCCATGGACTTGAAGTACCGCGTGGGATTCCCAGTGGAGTCATCGGTAATCACTGTTGAGGAGTCCTGAACTATCAGAAAACAACTGTCTGGTACTCACTGGTCTTAAATGATTCTCGAAATACAGTTATTTAGTGACCTAAATTGATATTCCACGTTTATTTAGCTTCGCTCCCCCAGATATTGTGTATTTGAAGTGTTGCAACATAAATCGCTCCCTTCTCTGAGAACTCGCTAATTTGGATTGTTTTAGTGTTTTGATTTCACTTTGCACGAAACTCCTAGTCAGATAATGTTTGCATCAGAGAATCATCTGATGAGTCATATTTTGATTTTCATGAACCTCAAATAGAGATATATAAATACCGAATTAAATCGAACAAGAACAAATTTAATAATAGGGAGAACAATGTTTATGATATGGAGATGTTGGCTCCTTATGAGCTAACATCGGTCGGAGAACCACTGAGATTAAGTAGTTTCCTTCCAGGTCAGACTGTTGCGAAGAATAACAAAACTATCTCTCGGTTATAGTTACTGATCACAGAAGACTAGGGATTGTAGGCCTCATCAACCTGCAACTAATGGTCTCCGAAATCAGATTTATCATATCGCAGATCGAGAAGCCATCTTAGTTTTTTAATTAGCCGTTTAATATTTAAAACCTCCCACCACAAAAAAATGTATCAAAGTTGTTAATTGAATTGTGAAGTGGAAAGTGAACAGCTCCTACAAAAACATGATGCTGATATGAAACACTTTCGTTCTCTATACACCGAAATTTGTTCACTCCTATTACAGGATAAAGATATTCAAATTAAATGCTGTTAATAAGTTTTCGGAGAAAATTTATGGAACTGCGGGTTTGTCGTCCCTGGAATTCCTTACCGGCAGATGTAGCTATGGCACCGTCTTTGGACGCCTTTAAGCGAAGGCTTGACAACCATGCAGCGATACAAGGACTGCATCCAAATGGCCTATCTCCTTAAAATCGCATTTACCAATCAGGGTAGATAATTAAACTCGTCATTTTACTTCTTTACATTCTCTCCCGTCTTACTCTCCTGACAACTTATTAATATTATAATCACTATTATTATTATTATTATTGTTATTATTATTATTATTACTATTACCGAAATATATATTATTCTTCAAACTTAATGAGCTGACTGTTGTTACGTTTCCTATTTTCGTTTCTGTCTCTTAGTCTGATTAGCTTCACTAATTATATCTACTATTATTATTATTACTATCTCTTTTCTCTTGTCGACAATACCGAAGGACTAACTGGCGAAAGGGATCAACTCCAATCACAGTAGTAACAGTCTTAACACACCTCATACTACAAACCACATATAATTAATCCCAGCACTACTCCCTTTGGAGTCGACCAAAGCTACGACAGTCGAGTGGCGGGACAAGCTACGCAGAAGTTTACCGAATATCAAGAACCTATACCTCACAATCAAGAAGCGAGCACAAAGAAATCAAATTGGTTTATACTAGCTCGTAAAAACGATATTGGATATTGGATGAGGAACTGATGCAGTCTCAGTCGTAAAAACGAGGAAAATTAAAAATTAGCCTGTCAACTTGTGCCCAGATAGGACCTGGGAGTTTCTCAGACAGTGAAAACAATCTAGAGCGTTCCAGTTAACACAAGAGGATAAATCATGCGGGGGAAAAACTAGACTTACAGCAGAAGTTTCAAAGTATGGAACGTTTAATTCATCCGCAAACTTTTGGGCTTTATTCTTGTCTATAACACGTCTAAATCCAAGGTCTATTTTACTGCCCACAAGAACAACTGAAGTATAGTTGCTAAATAGGAAATGACACTCACTTGGTACGGAGATCTCACTGGCTTGCTTCCGGTATTCCGATACTCTCGACTTTGCAGTAGAGAAGCTTTCAGCATCGGTCACATCAAAAACAACAACCACAAGGTTAACGACATCAAGCTACAGAATAAATTGAAGAAATTGCTTACATAATGCCTCGTAAAATCATGAAACACTTCTTTTCCTGGGAAACAGTACAGGAAGAGCTCCTAAATAACTAGTTCAGTTTTTCTTACTTTACCATACGATATTATCATTTGCTTCTGGTATTATCATTGTCTTCACTGTCAATTCAACAGTCGTTGACTAGAATTCATAGTGCTATTGAAATGTATAAGTTACCATGCAATAATTCTTTGTAAAGTCTCTGCCATCACTGCAAAATGACTGAATAATAGAAGTTTTCCCAGATGCTTCACTTCCTATACACGATTATTATAATTAGAGGAACTGACCAATTAGTATACACTTAGCTCTCAAGGTTTTGTGCATTTTAAAAAGTCAGTGGGAAGAAGCTATGACAACAAATTTATCGTTCGATGATCAATCCAATATCCAATATCGTTTTTACGAGCTAGTATAAACCAATTTGATTTCTTTGTGCTCGCCTCTTGATTGTGAGGTATAGGTTCTTGATCTTCGGTAAACTTCTGCGTAGCTTGTCCCGCCACTCGACTGTCGTAGCTTTGGTTGACTCCAAAGGGAGTAGTGCTGGGATTAATTATATGTGGTTTGTAGTATGAGGTATGTTAAGACTGTTACTACTGTGATTGGAGTTGATCCTTTCGCCAGTTAGTCCTTCGGTATTGTCGACAAGAGAAAAGAGATAGTAATAATAATAATAATAGTAGATATAATTAGTGAAGCTATTCAGACTAAGAGACAGAAACGAAAATAGGAAACGTAACAACAGTCAGCTCATGAAGTTTGAAGAATAATATATATATCGGTAATAGTAATTATAATATTAATAAGTTGTCAGGAGAGTAAGACGGGAGAGAATGTAAAGAAGTAAAATGACGAGTTTAATTATCTACCCTGATTGGTAAATGCGATTTTAAGGAGATAGGCCATTTGGATGCAGTCCTTGTATAGCTGCATGGTTTCTGAAAAGAACCAATTTCCAGTATTGTTTTTACGAGCTAGTATCCAATATCGTTTTTACGAGCTAGTATAAACCAATTTGATTTCTTTGTGCTCGCTTCTTGATTGTAAGGTATAGGTTCCTGATCTTCGGTAAACTTCTGCGTAGCTTGTCCCGCCACTCGACTGTCGTAGCTTTGGTTGACTCCAAAGGGAGTAGTGCTAATCCAATATCCAATATCGTTTTTACGAGCTAGTATAAACCAATTTGATTTCTTTGTGCTCGCTTCTTGATTGTGAGGTATAGGTTCTTGATATTCGGTAAACTTCTGCGTAGCTTGTCCCGCCACTCGACTGTCGTAGCTTTGGTTGACTCCAAAGGGAGTAGTGCTGGGATTAATTATATGTGGTTTGTAGTATGAGGTGTGTTAAGACTGTTACTACTGTGATTGGAGTTGATCCCTTTCGCCAGTTAGTCCTTCGGTATTGTCGACAAGAGAAAAGAGATAGTAATAATAATAATATCCAATATCCAATATCCTGATTACGAGCTAGTATAAACCAGTGATTTCTTTGAGCTCGCTTCTCGATTGTGAGGTAGAGGTTCCAGATCTTCGGTGAGCTTCTGCGTGGTAAGTCCCGACACTCGACTGCTTTAGCTCTCGTAGACTCCAGGAGGAGTGGTGCGGGGATTGGTCGAGATGTGGTATGTAGTATGCAGTATTTTAGGACTGTATTGCTGCCGTGAATGGAGTTTGACCTAACTCCCGTTGGTCATTCGGTGTAGTCATAAAAGCAGAATAGTAGTAATAATAATAATAATAAAAATAATGGGTTGTAGTGTAGGTAATATAGGTTGAGATAAGTGGAATAATAAAGGTGACTGTGGTGATTGACAATTTCTATCTCTGTATTGTTTAAAATACTTACTGTTGACTGTTGATATGTTCCTTATATGAATTGCATAAGAATTCCGCTAAATACAAATTCCTGATTGCTGCCTTCTCTGTGTTTTGTTTGGATTCTTATAATTCGGTCATCTTGAAATACTAATATTACAAGTGCAATAAATTACTACAAATTGGCGTCGCGACGGAGCTAAGTAACCTGGGAAAATTCCCCATTAATGGGTCTCCCCGGGAGATTGCTGATTATTTGGAATGCTTCGATGCGTGGTGCATTTCCAAGAATGTTCGGGATGATAAAATACCAGCACATTTCATTACTACTATTGGACCAGATGCGTATAGCCTGGCGAAGAATCTGGCGTTTCTAGATAAACCCATTTCTTTGTCATATGACAAGATCCGTGAACTTCTGATACATCATTTTCATGTAACTACTTTTGAGACCAGAGAGAGGGCTCACTTCAACAAACTGGTACGTTCTCCCAACCAGAAGATTCGAGAATTCATTTTTCAACTTCAAATTCAAGCTTCAAAGTGTAACTTTGGAGATCAGCTGCATACTCAACTACGTGATCGTCTAATTGCTGGAATCAATATTCCTAAATTAGAGAAGAAGCTAATTCAGAATCATTCTTGTACTTTTCAAACTGCTAAAGATGTATGTATTACATATGAAGATGTCAATAATGAATACTCTGCTCCCACTACGTCAGTGTCTGATGTTATACTTTCTAAAGTCGAAAATACAAGTGGTAATGGAAAGCAATCCAAACTGCCGTCCACAGGTAATAGAATGCAGCGAGAGATCAAAAACATAAAACCGTGTTTTTCCTGTGGAAAGTTACATCTACGAAGCACTTGCCGTTTTCGGGGTGCTAAGTGTCACAAATGTGGTAAAGTTGGACACATCAAGACGGTTTGCAGAAGTTCGAATACTTATGTTGCTTAACATTCTTATAACTCTCCCAAGCTGTCTAGTAAAATAGAGTCAATGTGTCTTTCAACCTTTCAAAATACTCAAGCTAATCCAATGAAAACCTCCACTACAAGTTCGGCAACTCAAGTGTCAGCTGTTTTCAAAAATGAGGTAGCTGAGTTGCAATGTGAACTATCGAAAACACGAAAAGACCTGGATGAGATGAGAGAACAACTGATTAAAATTGAGGAATTACTGCATATGCATAGACTGCGTCTGTCGAATGCAGAGCATACAAGTACCCGTGAAAGTCCTGCAAAACTTTTCAAATCTCGAATTCTCAAAAAGCATCTGATGTCCACGACTTCTAATGTACATTATTACAAAGATAATAACTATAGACCTTCTGTTGGAATTATACTACAAAAACTGGGAAATCGAGTGGTGAAGATATCAGACATCAAAGATCACTCAGTTCATAACGGACACCTGGACAAAGTGACAATAAATGAAGTAGGTCGTTCCAATTATAATATTATTGATTCCGCTAATAATCCTGATTTTGTAGATAATTCAGCAATAGGTCCAGATAATACTGATGGAAATAATATCACAGAATCAGTTAGGTCGAAGCTACTTGCAAGCAAACCAAGACATCGTTATAAATACGCGAGGAGATATTCGAGGTGTGGCGGATGTGGTGATTGACAATTTCTATCTCTGTATTGTTTAAAATACTTACTGTTGACTGTTGATATGTTTCTTATATGAATTGCATAAGAATTCCACTAAATACAAATTCCTGATTACTGCCCTCTCTGTGTTTTGTTTGGATTCTTATAATTCGGTCATCTCGAAATACTAATATTACAAGTACAATAAATTACTACAGTGACCTAGGGAAAAGATCGAGTGAGAGAAGGCAGAATAGGTCGTGGGGATTTAGTTTGTACGCTTATCCATAGACAGTGTGGTTTCAAGTTTTATGAAGATAAGCCATTGAGACACAAACCTTGCATTTCTGCATGATTGTCTAGCTTCCGCTTAAAAATCTCCACAGATGGCGCTGTAGTCACGGCCGCCGGTAAAGCGTTCCAGAGACAGCAAACACGAAGCGAAAAGAAATGTGATCGCACTCGAGTCTTTGGTCTCTGGTGTGCTATCCTTAGCGGGTTACCTCGTGGAAGCCTATAGTCACTTAATGGCAGGATGCTTTTATTTGGGTGGGCCTGGTCATTTAGGATCTTGTAGACGGTGATGAGGTCTCCCCTGTGCCTTCGGTAACTAAGTGTGAAAAGACCTAATTTCTTTAGTCTTTCCTCATATGATTTGTTGCGGAGGCCGATCACCCATTTTGTCGCTCGTCTCTGGACGCTTTCTAGAATGTTAGCATCCCTTTTGAGTAGCGGAGGTGCAATGATATTATGCACCTCAAGGTGTGGCCTCACATATGCCTTATATAACCATAAGAACAGTTCGGGAGTTAGAGCTCCCAGCTGCCTATGCATAAAGTGTAAAGTTGCGTAGGCATTGGCGACGTCCATCGAGTAATTTCTACTGGTGTCCAGCTTTTCTGTTAGAATAATACCTAGGTCTCGCTCTGATTGAACACAACTCAAGTTCTGGCCACCAAGGGTGTAATCTACACTCTGTGACCTGCCGGAACGAAGTTGCACTACTTTGCACTTCTTTAGGTTGAAAGGCGTTCCGTTAGCTAGAGTCCAGTTTCCCAGAATTCGCAGGTCAGCCTGCAATCTGTCTGAGTCTTCCGTTGACTTTATTGCTCTCCAAATCTTTACGTCGTCAGCGTAAAGAAGCGCAGAGCAGTTTAGTTGGGAGGGTAGGTCGTTGATAAAAATCAAAAACATCAACGGCCCTAGGATAGAACCCTGAGGAACCCCTGATGCCGAGGTGTGCCAGGATGGTCGGATGCGGTTGACTTTGGTGCAGAATTCTCTCTCGCCTAAGTAATCTGTCAGCCATGCGAGAAGTGCTCCAGAAACACCCGCCTTGCTTGTTTTGTGAAGGAGCAGACCATGGTGAACTGTGTCGAATGCTTTCGCAAGGTCCAGAAAGATCACGTGGGCTGGTACCTTTTCGTCCCAGGATGGTGTCCAATCGTTCCAAGCTAGTAGAAGATTCGTCACGCAGGATCTTCCCTTCCTAAAACCGTGCTGTGCTTCGTGAAGAAGGTTAGTCCCATCGAAGTATTTTCTCATATGGTCGTCAATGATACTTTCCAATATCTCCGATATCACTGAAAGTAGAGCAACTGGTCCGTAACTGGTCGCATTCTGCCGGTCACCACCCTTGAAGATAGGGGATAGGATGGCTCGTTTCCATTCACATG